TCTCTCTCAGGGAGGAGCGATAGGGAATGGCAAAGGACACACTGACAAAGGAGATTAATTAGAACTGGCTTTGACAAGCACTGTGGCAATGGGACAATTAAAACAGACTTTCAAGGGGGGGAAAAGAGGAACGAATTTTGGAGGACGGTAGAGAAAACAGGGCAACAATGAATGAATGGAAACCCAAAATCTCTGTAAATGTTCATTAAAATTAATAAAATTTAATTAAAAAAACCCATGAGAATCTTGAAAACTCAGTGTACTATTTCTGTATGAAAGCAATAGCCAAAAATGAGATTTATTTTAATATTTACTCTCTTTCACGTGGCTTTCAGAGTCCACTGTGTGTTCATGAGTGAATATAAATAAACTAGACAATGGAAATCTCTTTCCTTTGGGATAGGCCTTTTGCATTGTAAAGGCAATGCCACAAAATTTGCAAAAGCCCTTATATACCCACCTTTGACATCTTTATACTATCACAACATGGCTTTGGTGCGATGAAATTCAGAAAGTTTTGACTATGCTTACATAGCTACAGCCCAATATTTTTATGTGAAAAAGTAAACAAAGCAGGAATATGTAGTTTACTTTGAAGCCCATTTCCTTGCTATATGAATATGCAAAAAGGCACCTGTTCCAACTTTACGCATGATCTCACCAGAACAACACTAACAGAATGGACTAATGGACTGGCCCTGTAGGTTAACATTTTCTGCTTGAACAGATTCACAAATCCTACAATGTACATTGAAAGACTCGCCTGCCACCATGAGTAAAAACTCTGTTGATATTGATCGGATGCCTATTAAGTGTTTTATGTGTCATAGAAATAATAATAAAAAATACAGTAAAATCCCTGTCCTCAAGCCTGTAGATAATCAATAAGGATATAATATCTACCAGGGTAAGTAAAAAGCTATAGAACATTATTAGAAGCATTTACTGTTCTAACATTTTCACAACTACCAGATTTCCAGCTGTGTCAAAGAACATTGCTTTTTATTCCCTCAATGGCAGATCAATAAGAGCTCCTCCAGCATGGGAGCTATTACTTATAATGGCCCCAAAGAGTTAATGCATGGTGCAAATTGAACGTAGACCCAGGGTCTACATCAAATGGGCCCTCAATTACTGTTGATGGATTGACTTTCTCACAGTAATAAAAGTTCAATTTATAGAAAAGGACCCTATGAGACCGAAATCAATAATTTAGACACATTTCATGGTGAATTCTAGGTTTGCAGGACGAAACACAAACACAAGATCTGTGCTTCCTTTTTTCCACCTCTAGGAAGTGGTGTGTTGTTAATTAACTTATACGAAGAGATTTCCAACCACTTAAAGTTACCAACGATATGCAGGAAAATGCTGGAAAACTTTGAATCAACATTCTAGTTGTGGCATAAAACTGATTCTAAGGGATTTGAAGACAAACAATTGAAGATAAGATGCAAATATTTTTCTTAGTAATAGTAACTTTAAAGGCTATTTATGAATAAGTTTCCTTTGAGTTTCTCTTTGCACATCAGACAGATTTTGCAACCCTCTACACATCATTCTATGGGGTTTTTTTCTAAGGAGAAGAGCACATTTTCAAAGATGTGACTTAAGTGGCCATTTCATTTGAAAGCATAATGAATTTCCTCCTCAGCCTCCATCAGGGTTTTACCCCCGATCAGGTGACAGATCAGAAAGCCTCTCCTTAGTCAAAGCAGAAATCTTAGATGGATACATCAGCAGAGCATTGCTCTTGTATCATATATTCAAACCAGAGTTGGACTTCACATTTGTAAAAAGCTTGAACGTGTAAACTAGCAAGTGTAATACCGCACGATGGGGAGTGGAATTAGCTCAGAGAATAAGGAGTCGGCCAAAAGATCCAAAGAACTGGAGAAAAAGCTTCAGGAAGATGCTGAGAGAGATGCAAGAACTGTAAAGTTGCTATTATTAGGTAATATTTTCCATTTTTCCTTGAAAAACCCTGATTTTTCTATTATTTTTTTTAAAATGTGCATTTCCATTGATGTTACCACAGAGAAAAATATATTTAGAAGTGTAATATATTTTATACTCACTCAGCAAATATTTAACAATAGCTTTACCTGTTTAGTACTTTACTATGTGACTTTTTGTCAAGCAGATGTGCAAATATTTATGCAATGACTCCATTTCCCTATGTCTATAAGATCAATTATTATTAAAAGAACACCCACGTGAATTTATTATTTTATTGTGCCATAATCATTTGTTGAATGTCAGCCTTTTAATACTAAGAAATCTTTTCATTAACAAGTTATTTTGCTGGAACAGAAATAGATAAAGTTGTTTGTTATCAAATGTAGTCTGTCATTTGTTTGCTTGTGCTGTTAAAATCAAACTCAATTTATTTGAAGATTAATAAGGTATTTTCAACTCTACTAATAATACTGTTCTTAGTCTTCAATATTGCCCATGATACTGTCTACACTTGAATAATAATTCATTTATAGCATTTTAGGACATGTGTAGAAATCATTACTGAGCTCAGGTGCCACAGTTCTTGGATGGTGTCCTTCTAACCCAGAGGTTGTGCTGCCCTGACTGTTCAAACCCACCAGCAGCTCTATGAGAGGAAGAGAGGCACTCTCCTCCCGTGCAACTAAAGCCTCAGAAACCCAGTGGAAGTTAGCTCTGAAATCAATTTCCACTCCACAATGAAAGACAGGAGGGAGAGGGAGAGGGAGAGGGAGAGGGAGAGCGCACAATCATTCAGGCCAGCAATTGTTATTCTTCTATCTTTACATTCCGTCAAATCTCAACAAGATATTTTGGAGAAAATATATTCACTTAATTGTAAAAATTAAATAATCTATATTGTGTATTGTCTAAGTAAAAATTTATCATCTATTGGTCACAGAAAATGGAAATAATATTTTGAAATGAAAATGAAGATCCATAAAAAGACAAATATTAAAGAATTCTAATTCTGTCCCTACTTTTCAAAATTCAAACTCGTTGATGTCGAATTACAACCAAGCTGTATTGACACTTCAGCAGGCTTTCAAAAGCCATAATTTCATAGGAGAAGAATGTCCATCTTTCCCCTGGGAAGAAATTGGAAGATTAGAACCACCAAAGAAACACGCTCTTCGGGTTAGCAGCTCTTCTACTTTCAGTGATACACACAAATAATTTGGTTCAGAATTGTGAATCTTTCACATAACAAAGCACCCTCTAATTTTTTTTACTGTTCCTTACTATGTCCAATTTGTGGCAAGCACATCCCACACACCAACTATGAAATTCCCAGTATTTCTCTCCCTTTGTGTGCAAGTTCTGCAGCTACACCTATAAACCACAGCCTTTGCTAGTAACCACTTAGATGTTAGTGACTTAGTAAAATGTCAGTGTAGCTCTTCTCCAATCAGTAAATATACTTTTTTTCCCCTACCACTTCGGAATATTCAGTGAAGTTTAGAGTAAGAGCAGAAGTCAGTTGGGCATAGGAAAAGCAAATAAAAGGTTAGTGGAGAAGATAAATACATTTAATGTTCTTATGCTAATGGAATGAGAGTATTGATAGAACAGATTTTTAAAAGACTTTTTCAAAATATAATTTCAAGACAATTAGTCTCATTTTTCTAATATACCAATTATTTTTAGGTTAAAGAAGTTGTGTTAGAATAGAAATAGTAACTTTTTGGACTACAGATACAAAAGAATGATTAGTAGGGCAATTGAAATACTTTTCTTTCCCATGACAATTATAATTTGATACACTCCGTTCTGGTATTGTTATACAACATGTTGGTATTTATATTAATAATATCAGTGTTTTCTTATATCAATTGTTGCTGCTGTTGTTGTTACTTGACTAGATACTTGACTAGATCCTCCTTAGTGAACTTGTGTTCTATGTATCATGGTTCAGTTGCCAAGTTCGAAGTAATAATATTTCAAGTTTTCATTGGTTCTCATTTTTTAATTTAATTATTGACGTTGTTGTTGTGTACTGTTAAGTTGGGAGTGACCCGTAACAGAACTTCCAGCAGGTTTTCAGAGTCAGTAAGTCACACTGGAGGAGATTTACTATCTGTCTTCCATACAGAGCAGCTGGAGAATTCAACTGAATACCTTTGGGTTGGGAGTACAATTTCTTACCACTAAACCACAAAAGTTTTCATTTTTATATTCATTTTGGCTTCTTTAAGATATCATAAAAGTATTCAAAACAGAAAGAAAATGGAAATAGCCCAAATGCTCATTAACAAATGAATGAATGAACTGAGAAATTGTGGTATTTCCACACAGAGGAGTATTTTAGAGCAGGGAGCCTAGTGGCAGGAAGCTGTGCTCCCAACCCAAAGGCATGTGGTTCGAGGCCACCACCTGCTGCTCTGTGGGAGAAAAGTGTGTAATCTCTTCCCATGTAATAATTAACTACCTCTGAAAATCTGTTGATTTCAACTCTATGGTACAAAACAGCAACAACAAGGAATAATGATTTTGTAAAATTCTGCTTAACATGGGAAAGATGAGAGTATTGTGCTGAATGAAATAACCCACTCACAGGACAAAACCGGTAAGAACACTAATGTGATAATAGGTGAATAAATGAACAAGACACGTACTGTTCAAAAGGAGTAGAGTAGAAGAGGGTCAAAAGAAGGGAAAGGACAGAAAATCACTTGGAGAGTAGATGTTAGTGGATGGGGAGGAGTGGAGTGAAGGAATAGGAACCATGCCATGAACTCTTGAAGAAAAAGGATAATGGGCATATGGCAGTATTAATTAATTATATGAAATACAATGCATATGAATGAGAGTGAAATGCACAATATATGTGAATAATTGTAAGAATCATTAAAAGAAAGAAAAATATTCAATATATCTAAATTAAATCTTCCAATTCGCCCATCCCTCACAGCCCCTCTCTGTAAGTAGAATTGTTTAATTTGTCCCATCTCTCTTAAATTATTCCCATTTACCAGTGTGTTCTGAACCACAGATTTCAAGTTTCATCATGAGGCTGTGTCATGGAGAGATGATTGATTTGGCTTTAACAGAAAATAAATTCTAAGTCTAATCCTCCTTCGGCAAAAATTAGAAATGTGATAAAATAAAAAAAAAACCTATTAACAGAATTAGTATCTTAGGTTGATAGTGTTATCTGAAGATTCCTAACCAAACACCATATTTGCAAATGTGGCATGTGCTGTAAAATATGTACACCATTTGGTATTTTGAGACACAAGATTTCAATGAATCTGAAGGGTTTCAAAAGTACTATTTTTAATTAACGGATCATCTTGCAGACAGATTTTCTTTTTTAAAGTGTGCCTTTTAGACCTTAAAAAATTGCAGAAAAGATGCTAAATCTCTTTAGCAAACAAGCAAAAACAAAAAACAAAAACCCAACCAAAAAAAATGTAATCTAGGAAATGCAGGAGGTGACTCAGACATTCCTGGCACATTTGACAGCTCCCATCAAGGAGATAATATCACTTACTTAAAAAAATTAATCCACAAGGTGCTACAGGAAAGTATTTTTTAGTAAGACAAATTTTCACTAATAACTTTTGTAGACATTCTAAGGTAGTTTCCCCAAGTCTTTATTTATCAACAGTGTTTAAGTAAAATTTCTTACTGTTTAAAAACAGCCCCTCATTTAAGTGAGGACTCAGTAGGTATGTTATATTTCCATTTTTCTTGTCTCCTCTGTGTTTGTCGCTTCAAATTTCAATTTGAATGCATTTGTTATTTCAAACACTTTCCTTTTTACCTTTGCAAATGTATATCATTTGAACAAATTTGGCAGAGATACCCTATTCTTGTTTTCCCCCCACATGCTTTGCTTATTAAGGGGAGGTCTGGTGGCCTAGTGGATAGTTATACTGCCAACTTAAAGGTTGTTCTAATCCCTTGATTTCTCTGGGGAAGAAGGAGGAATCATCTATTATACTGTGATTCATAGGTTCAGAAAACACACTGGAGGGGCAGCTATGAGTCTGTTCCAAACCAAAAACACTGAGTTTTAATTTTTTAAAACATGTTAATTTTTAAAATGGTACCATCTGAATGTTACTGTTTAAAATAATTTCTAAATCCTTTGGCTGTTAAACACAAATCTGAATTAAAACATCTGGAAATAAAAGGATATTTATATTATGTATGTTCATATTTATTTTAAGTAATCAATATTTTCAAATTTTTAAATGTTTCTACTTATTCAACAAATGGATATTTTGGAAGGCAATGTCATTTTTAAAATTTGACTAGAGGAGGATTATGGTGATTCTGACACTTCTTGAAAAATAATTGATAAGGGGGAGAAATAGTTTACATATCACCAGATGGAAGGGTTTATACACATGACCTCCTGAAGAAATAAAACTAATATAGTTAAATGCATGTTAAAGCCATCTGAGGTAAACATACTTGTCAATTACAAAGATTTGCTTCCCCTAATTCTATGAGTGACCTTAAACTAGCTATATAGCCTCTGAGAAATAATAGCCATCAAAATATATTGCAAACTTTACAAAAGAAAAAATGCAAAAAACCAAAAGTTTGTTCAATGTGGTTTGTTCATATTTTGTGATAGATTTATGAGTTAATGGTAAAGGTCAATGAATGCATATAAGTTGTCTTCTATTTTTCATTCTCTTACGTATGACTGAAGGTAAAGAGAGTGTAAGACTTACCATAAATCAAAAGTTCTGATAGTCTAGCTGTTTATTTTTTAAAGAATAAGTACTTTTCGTTTTAAAAATGTTTCTGTAGTTAGGAGTGGGTAAAGGTGATAGAGCCATTGCCTAAATTGTAAGTTCATCAAGTGTAAAAGATTACTTTAAAATTTAATGAGACTAATATATCCCCTGTTTATCCAAGCATAATCACATGATTCTCAGCAATAATTGTATTAATGTTACCTGATAAACTCCTTTCTCCTTTCTGATTACCACTGGTGAAAAAAAAAGAATTTGCAAATATATAGGACATACACTTGAATTATTTCATTTCCTAAAATTGAAACAGTCCCTTCAACCAATAGTAATATAGTTTCATTTTATGTTATAAAGTTACTAGATTTTTGCAAATCTTGTGGATTTAACTTTATGTATATTTTAAATTGCTTTTCAGTTTATATAAACTTTAATGTAAGTATTTAAATTTTGTGATTAAGTGGAAGACATTATTTTGACATGGCCTACTTAGATAGATTCAAAATTTCTCTAAAGAATAATGAAGTATTTTCACCCTAACAATTTGAAAGTTCCAGAGGCAACTCCAAATATTTACAAGAATGGATTTACACATAACACATAGCAGATGACAGCATCAAACAGCTTTCTCTAAACATTGTTCTCTTTCTGAGGGACAAAATGCACTTAGACAAAAGTTTTGCTCACATTTAAACCGTAGCAGATGACAGCATAAAATAGCTTCCTCTAAACATTATTCTCTTTCTGAGGGGCAAAATGCACTTAGGCAAATGTTTTACTCATAATTGTTTTATTTTGATTACTTTGTCTCAATTAGTGCATTTTAAACATAAACTCACAAGTCACTCATGTAAAACACATAAGTCATTCATTACAGAATTCCACACTTAGATTTTGTTAACAAGATTAAAGAGAAAGGTGTTTGTAACCAGTAGTCCATTAACATGATAATATTTTTGAACATTTTAATACTTTTTAAAAATTCTAGTTCTAAAATATTTTTATTGAAGAGCTGCACTTTATGTCTACAATCATTTATACAAGCACCTTGAGCAAATAACTTAATTATCCTTTCTTATCTCTGGAAAAGGAGGGTAACAAAACATTGGCTCGTGGAAGAATCTCATAAAACAAAATTTTTTGAAAAATTTAATCAGAGAACATAAAAAAATAGGACTCTCACTTTTAAGCAAAAATAGCCTTATCTTTTGCTTTCATTTTAACTCAAATACTCATGCTCAGCTATATAAAGGTAGAATTAGAACTAAAGTCAGTTTCAGAGTGAAATTGCAGTTGAAACTCTATGAAGATGTGAAATACATTGATTTTGCTTGCCAGATCCCGATGCTACAAGAGTAGAAGACATAGATTGAATTTGTATCTCAATAATTTTTACTCCAATGGAAACGAATTACTATTTAAAATTGTTGGAGAACTCTGGTGCTTCGTGGTAAGGAGTTGCACTGCCAACCCAAAGACATTCCATTGGAGCCCACCAGCTGCCCTGCAGAAGGATGGACAATTGTCTCTCATGTGGTTTATTGACTCTGAAAACCTGCTGGAGGGACAGCTCTGAGTTGGTTTCTATCCAACCGTCTATCACAACAAAAACACCATTTGCAGCTAGGTCATAGGATAACCTATTTTCATAGTCAACTTAATAGCACATAACGATAAGAAGAAGATACCTGACCTTTTCTTCTCTGACATCTTTTACATTCTATTACCTCTGTAACTATCAGATCAATTTAATTGTGTTCTTTCTAAAATTGTAGAAGGGACCTCTGACAACTTAGTAGTAAGGAGTTGAGCTATCAGCCCAAAGACTTATGGTTAGAATCCACCAGCTGCTCCAGTAGAGAAAGATGAGTAATTTCTTCCCTGTGAATAACTCTCGGCAAACCCACTGGACGGTCAACTACAAGTTGGTTCTGACCCTTGGTATATAACAATAGCAAACTTCTAGACCATCCTGTATCTTTATATAATATTATGCCCTAATTGACTTCTGAAAGCCTGCGTCATTCCTTGAGATTCTCCCTTTGCCAATGCTGTAATCCACTGCCTACTGATTACTTTACAAATGGCCTATGGTTTTTGTTTTTTTAAATGGTATACATTATTTAAAATCCAAGCATCCTCTTATATCAATATCATAAAGGTTCATGTATAGAGGTGTGTATTATTGTCATTGTTGTTTTTTGTTTGGTGCCATCAAGTCAAGGACAACTTATTGTGATCTTGTGAACAACAGATCTGAACCCTGTCTTATCCTGTGCTATCCTCACAATCTCTGACACACTTGAGCTCATTGATGTAGTCTCTGTGTCAATCAATCCACCTGCTTGAGAGTCTTCCTCTCTTTTGCTGTCCCTCTAACTTCCCAAGCATGATGTCCCTCTCCAACAAATATCCTCTGCTAAAAACATACCCAAAGTAGATGAGAGAAGGTTTATCATCTTTGCTTCCAAGGGCATTCCGGCTTCCCCTTCTCCAAGACATACCTGTTTGTTCTTTTAGCTGTCCATAGGATATTCAGCAGAATATCTCATACAATAGGTTCTCTCCAAAACCACAATTCAAAATATTTGGCAGAAAATGAATCATTGTCAAAGATAGTACAAAGTTTTAATGCATTGTTTTTCAACTTTCTGTATATTTGCAAATTACCAAAATAAAAAGTCAGAAATATGAAAGAGTATGTTGGAGTACTTTTCATTCACTCATCACACCATCACATACACACAAAAGGTATAATTTATTTCATCTGCCAGCTATTTCATACTGACAAAATTTTAAGTGGAATAAAATGGCATGTATTTTAGAATTTTAAAGTATTTGTTGTTGTGTACCATTGAGTCAGAACCAACCCATAACTGACCTCCAGAGACTTTCCAGAGGCAGTTAATTCCATGGAAAGAGATGGTTCATCTCTCTCCCAGGGAGCAGCTGCTGAATTTGAATTGTGTACTTTGAGATTGCAAGTGCAGCTCCTTACCACTAAGCCAGAGCTTCTTTAAAATTCTTTAAATAATACATAACCAAACATGAGGAGCCCTGGAGGTGTAGTACTTGCATATTCAGTTGCTCATCAGCTAGAGTTCCAATCCACCAGCTGCCCCCAGGAAGAAAGATTAAACATGATTTTATGTAAAGATTGACAACCTTGGCAATCTGATGGAGAATCACCAAGATGTGTAACTTACATGAAGGCAGTGAGATAACCAAACATTTTCCTTCAAATATTTTTTCCATGAGAATGATTTTTTTTCCCTCCCAGGACCACAAGAAAGTAAACATCACAGTTAGCTCTTGTAACTAGGCCTCCTGACAGATAATTCCACAATATGCCCTCAGATACCCTACTGTGTAATATATCTGCAAGGAACAATGTTTTTACAAAGTATATAAATGGTTTCATGTAACTGGCTTTCATTCTTCCTAAATTCAAATTACGATTCAGTCATGCTTGGTTAGAAAAAAAAAGCCATCCTTACAGAGCTACTGTTTCCAAAATTTATTTCAAATAGAATGGACTTTAGAAATTATAGTCATATTAAAAACTAACATGTACCTTAGAGAGATGTTTTCCTAAACTCTCAGGTAAGTACTGTGTTGGCAAATTTATGAGTAGTTTATTTATTACTCAAGTTCAGAATTTTGGATTAAAATTAGAAGCATATATGTCATCTGCCAGATATAAGCAACACTGCTATGTTGAATAATGTTATAAAGCCATATCTTACTTCCTGGCTCAGAATACCACACACCTATTGCAGTATGGATCAAAATAAAATAAATGTTCCAGGTAGTACAATTATTTTCTTTTAAAACAAACTCAGAAACTGTTCATGTTTTTTTATACACAGTTTAAGATTACTAAGAATTGGATCACAGAAAACAAAAATGTAAGGCAATATCGATTAACAATTGAAAAACATATTCAAAAGGCCAATTAAGACTTTAAGGTGAGCTTCTTGCAGACCTGTTGTTATTGTTTTGTTGATCGCAAGGTTCATAGCAACCCTGTGAATGAAGGAAAGGCCTGAAGGCTTTCTATGACTATCGACATTCGTCAAAGCTCACAGAGCTTCCTTCCAGAGGCATGCTGTTTAGGAAGTGGATGACACTCTTGTTTGTAAATAACTACATTAAATAAAAGTATCTCAATACTTTACATTGCTTTTCAAGAGACATCGAAGAAAACAATGTCAGTAGTAGAACAAATATGTTTCTTCCAACTTCTGATTTAAATAGTAATATTGACTAAAGTCCTCTGAGAAGTTAGGACACAACTGAATAGTAAGTAAAAAAAACTAAGAGGTAATATATTTCATTATGAGAAACATGACAGAAATGCCATTGCTTGCATTTGGATTCAAAATTCATTTTTCCATCCTGAACATGAGGAATCACTTTTCCATCCTATGACTGGTCATTTTTTACTCATTTTTATTCATTCAAGTTATATGCACCTAAAAAAAAAAAAGTCATATATGATTGAAGCTTAACATCAAGAAAACCAAGATTCTCACTACTGAGTCGACTGGCAGCATTATGATAGATGGTGAAGAGATTTAGATTGTTAACAGCATTAGTTTGCTTGACTCCGTAATCAACACTCTTAGTACCAGCAGCCAAGAAATCAAAAGATTAATTGTTTTGGGAAAGTCAGCTGTCAGGGACCTCTCCAGAGTACTGAAGAGCAACAACGTTAGTCTGGAGATTAAGGTGCACCTGATACAGGCCATAGCCTTTGCAATTGCTAGCTATTGATCAGAGCACTGGACAATGACTAGAGAGGATAGAAGGAGATTTGATGCCTCTGAACTGTGGTGCTGGAGAAGAGTACTGAATGTACCATGGACTGCCAGGAGAAGAAACATGTTCGTCCTAGAGAAGGTGAACCAGGGTGCTCCTTGGAGGCAAGGATTCTGAGGCTTTGTCTGACATACTTTGGGCATGTTGCAAGGAGGGACCAATCCTTGGAGAGGGATATCATACTTGGAAGCATGGAGGCACAAAGAAATTGAGGAAGACCCTCGATAAGATGGATTGATTCAGTGACTGGAGTAAAGAGGGTAGGTATGTCAAAGACAATAAAGTTGGCACAGGATCAAGCAGGTCTCTGGGCTATTGTACACAGGGTCTCTGAGTCACAAGTGGCTTAATAGCACATAACAACAACAACAATATACACCTACAATATGTCAGGCTTTTCCTAAAAGTATATTTAAGATATCTTTTTCTCCTTGTCAGACTACATTCCTTCCTTTCTGGAATATCCAAGAAAAGAAAACTATTCCTTGGATCCCCTTATTTGAAAAGGGATAGACAAGGACTCAGTTGATGTGCCATCAAGTAGCTTACAATGCACAGCAACCTTATTTATGTACAATAGCTCTGAACCCTGTCCTATACTGAGGCAAATTTCT